TGGCAAGAAGGTGGATTATAATTACACGTCTTTCTCGATTCCGCCAGGACTTCCCAAGCGCTAAGAAACTTTCTGATTTTATGTCGTTTTCGATTTTCTCTCCTTCCTCTCTTCTCCTTTCGCCTCGGATGTTAGGACTTCTGTGGTGGCAAGAAAGGAATTGGTAATTTTTTAGCTTTCTCGGTTTTCTGTTTATCTTTCTATTCTTCCTGTCTTCATCTTTCGATGCCGGGACTTCCTCGGCGGCAAGAGAGAACGTTTTCTAGTTTATATCTAGGTGTATCTTTTCTTGTCTTTTGTTTTCTCTGTGCCTTCCTTCTGAGAAATTAAATTGTGTCTGTCTCTGTCTTTCTTTATCACTAAAGCCTTTCTATCTTTATTTTTAATCCGCTTTCATCTATTTCTATTTTTGGTTAATGACTTCCAAGATGATAAGAAATAAGTTAAAAACTCATCTATTTCTGTTTTCTTCTCCCTCTTTATTAATAGTTTCCTCCCTCTTCTTCTGTTTCTATGTTTGTATATATCCATATCCCCCTTTCTGCCTTTCCTTAAGTGTTCTGGGCTCTTGGTTTCCATTACATCCACGGTGACAAGAGGAACTTTTCCAAACGTATTTGTCTCTTCTCTTTATCGCCGATGTTTTCTGTCTTTGTGAATGGCTGCCGCGCGCTCCGTCGTCAGGGCTTTCTCGAGGATGAGAAAAAGTGACTTCTTGAGGACTGTTTAAGCTTCTTTTCATTCTGTCCCTCTGTCTCGATTTTTTTTTTTTGTACACTCTCTAAGTCTGCCTCTCCCTTGCTCTTTCTCTTTCCCTTTCTCAGTCTGCCTCTCGCTCTCTCTCTTCCCCCCCTTGCTTTCTCTCTTTCTCCCTCGCCCTTTTGCCAATATGCTTTGCTCTGCTTTCGCATATTTCTCCCTAATTGTTATGCAATTATCACGTCGCTCGGCCACTTCCTCTTTCCAGGGCGCTATTTCACTCTGTCAAGTTTGCCTCGTTTAATTCCGCATTATAATTATGCAATATCTAATCAAGGTGTCAGAATGATATACAGAACACCGCCGCCTCATCTCCTAAGAATTGCATTAAGGAAACTCATTTTGCGGAGAGATTTTTATTATTATTATTCCAGTTCTTTCTTTTGTATGCTCCATTTCCGTTCCTTTCAGATTACCCCAACAGCACGAGCGTGAGGTGCGAATCAACAGCAACAGCCGTAACAGGGAGGACATTGATATCACCTGTGCTCATAGCAGGTGCGGGGACCTCGGTTACAGGTGAGTCATTTCTTGTTAGGTGGAAGCGTGTGTTGGGAATTCCTGACTTTCAAATTAACATATATATATATGTGTGTGTGTGTGTGTGTCTGTGTGCACTCATACATGTGTGTATGTTTGTGTGAATGTGCTTGCATGCATGCCTGAATGTGCGTGGGTCCATTCTTATTTAGCCATATTGTATTAGTTTAGCGAAATCTCTTCTCATGAGACTTCAGTAAAGCATTTCCCTGGCGATCACTCTGCTTCGAACAGCAATTCAAAACAGTGACTCTCCACACGAGTCTCCCTCAGAGCAATCCCTCCAGCCAATGAGAATCCTCAAGGCAAATTCCGCTTTGAAACGCACCAATCAGGTCTCTCTGTCACGTCCTTACAGTTGCCGGATTCTTCTGGACGCTGATCGCCATCGTGGTCGCCGTGGCCTGAAGGGCGGTCGTTCAGGCGCTGGAGGGTCTTCCTCGTGGAAGGTAAGAAGCGAAGACGCGCGAGGCTGATCTCGTGTGATAAATATTGATTTCCGAAGCGAACGCCGCCCGTGGAGGAGGAGGGACCTGGGCTCCTGCATGGCGGAGGCCCCGACGGATGGGCACGGAGCTCGAACGCTTCAGTCTTCGAGGCGCCGGGGTCATTTCGTGTCTCTGTTCTGATACTGAGAAGGGCAGTGGTAGTGGCAGTAATGATAATGGTCGTAGTTACTATAACGGTAATATGTATGATCGTGGTTTTCATAGATAGGATAATGATTTTAGGAACAATAATAATGGCAATAACAGCCAAACAACATTGGTAATAATTATAATAATGATGATAATGACGATATTTAAAATGTTAGCGATGATGATAGTAATAATGATATTTATGATAGTGATGATTTAATAATAATGATAAAAATGATGATAATTATAAAATCATAAGGATAATCATAATGGAAAGGACAATGATGATGATAATAATAACGATAATAAAATTATAACAATGATAATTGTAATGATAATACTCATAAAAATACAATAATAATGATAGTAGGATTAGTAATAATTATATGATAATGAGAGCAATGATAATAATATTGATATAATAGTACTACATTATATTGATAATAATGATTATGGTAATATTAATAAAACTGATAATGATAATAATAATGATAATGATAAAAAGGATAACGACAATGAAATAGTAATTATAATAACAATGAGAATCATAGATTTAATGATAATGACAATTATTATAATAATTATAATGATGATGGTTGTAAACATAACGATAATTATAATAATACTGATTATAATGGTAATGATGATGATAATAATGATAATAATAATAATAATAATAATAATATTTTATTATTGTTATTATTATTATTATTATCATTATTATTATTATTATTATTATAATTATTATTATTATTATTATTATTATGACAATGATAATGATAATAATAATAATGATAAAGATAATACATTGATAAGAATAATCATATATACACAAAAGACGCAATAATCATATATAAAAGCAATAATAATAACCATGATAATAATGACATTTTCTACCCACCCTTCCCCCGCAATTAGCAAGAAGAGCACAGGTTACGTGACCATCAGAGGCAAGGAGAAAGACGTGAATGCAGGAATCTGTGATAAAAGTCGGGTCTAAAAGCCAGGTACAAACACATCAGTCCTCGAGCACCTGTTTACCTGGTGGAGAGCGAGACAGCTGCTTTAGCGTTAGAGTTACTTAGAAACTGTTTCTTGAGCGCTTGTATGATAAGTTACCGCTGTTAAACACTCTATCTGTTGGGAAGATAGAAAGTGCAGAGTATATTTGTAGTTCTTAGCGAATAGAGATGGAGGGAAAGTTTAGATATTATAAAGGTTGATGGGTCAGATATTTATCGAATTTCTTACGAAAAAAATAATAAAACAAATGATAATAATAATAATAAATACAAATTATTTGGCGGCGGTACACTCAATCACTGTGCCAGCGCTGTTTGTTGTTGTGTTGGAAGTCACCTGTTGTGTTGTCACGAAGTTATGCGTCTTTCCGTTCGTCGGCTGTATGTATTCCAATGTTTCCATAAAAATTCAGTCTTTATACTTGTTAACTTTAAGAAATGTATGTAAATATATATAAACACACAAAAACCAAGAACCTAGCAGAAAGGGAAAAGAAAATAAGACCATGCTCTTTCTTGAAAACTCGCGGGTTCTTGGACTGAAGAGCGGTTGTCTGCAACCTCTCTCGCAGGAAGGAAAAAAACTCACAAACCTCATTTTAACTCAAGACTGCAAACGAGTACCTGGCTTCGCTGGGATGAACTTCACTGCAGCCCTGAAGCACAGTGGCTCTGTGCGCGGGGTATATGGATTATTCCACTGCAAGCTCAAAGGCCTACTAGATGTTGGAGGTACAATACTAAAGGTAATTTTGTCCCCTTTTCCACAACGCCTCTTGTACCCCCTCCCCCGACCTCCGCCCCTCCTTGTCACCCCCGCCCCCTTTATATATATATACTCTAACCCCTTATATACATGTATGTTCTTGTAAAGTTGGAAATAAAGATTACTGTTACAATTACCATTATTATTGTGGTTTTATTAGTCCAAGTTTTGTTTTGTTTTTCTCTGTGGATATGTCATAAATATGAAACATTTTTCTTTTCTTTTTTTCTTTGTATCCACATGCACGTTTCTCCTGGCCCGTTTGTTAAAGTTGCATTGATATTATGAAACATAGCCATCTGGCTTCTAAATCGGAGCATGATGAAAAGACACGTGCGGAGGCTAACTCATCACCCCTGGCAAAAAAAAAAAAAAAAAAAAAAAAAAATCTAAGGAGAGACGTAAAAGCCATGAGGAATGTGTTCGGGGAGACAAACAGACAAACGCAGACAATCTGTTTATGCCTCTGAAGGAAGAGCGTGATAAACCGAGACAGACAAGGGAGATAGCATAACGAGGGGAAATAGGAAGGAGCGCGGAAAAGAAAACGAGGAGACCCTCGGCCCCCATGGCGCTGGTCAATAAAGGCCATTATTCGGCCAAGTTAAAAATAGCCGAAGGAGAAATTGCGTGCGTCCACAACTTCAAATACACGTCTGCGAATGCTCGGCTGCCATTGGGCGCTTTGAGCCAATGAGGGGAGGGCGGGGAAGGGCGCATGGAGAGGGGAGGGGGTGGGGGTGAAGGAGAGGGGAAGGGTCGAGGTGAATGCAGGGGAAGGTAGGGGGGAGGGGGAGGGGTGGGGGAAGAGGAAGGGTGGAGGCAGGGAACAGGAAGAGGAGTTCATTGGGTGAGGGCTGATTGAAGTTAAAAGGAGGCCTCATGACATAAGGGGGGGCTGATGTAGCATAACTTGGTAAGAGACTTGTATTAATATAACTGATTCACACACACACACACACACACACACACACACACACACACACACACACACACACACACACACACACACACACACACACACACACACACACACACACACACATACACACACACAAACAAACACACACATATACACAAATATACACACATGCCTTTGAAGTAAACGATATAAATATACAGTCCTATTTACCTGTGTGTAAGTGCGTATGTATTTCCTCCCTGCGGTGCAAAAGGGAAAAGATGTGATGGAATCCAAACAAACCGCATTTAAAGCAAACAAAGCAATCCCAATCCCGCTGAAAATCGGTTTTGAAGCAGATAAACATGCCCGAC